AATAAAATAATATATATTTATATGAATAAGAATATGTCCCGTCTGCAATGATCAAACTGTAAAAGATAGCAATTGGTGTACTTGTATTGATGTACCAATGATTGAAAAATATGCTTACCATGGTATGCAAAAACAAATGCATTTTTTTTTGGTTTTAAGAGCAGTGTTTATGAACAGCTATAGCGTAGTGGTCAAAGAGCTTGCTTCAAAAGTTAGAGATCCGTGGTTTAACACCACCTGTGGGCAGGTTTTATATCATTGGTAAGGAAGGAGACGTACAACCGTAAGGATTTTTTGGGGCACCTAAAATAAAACATAATAAAAAAGTATAAAATGTATAATCAAGTTAAACAAAACAAAAAATAGGATGTGTCAGTAAAAAACCAATACAGATAAATAAATTTACATACACACTAAAATATTTATTTTACAAAATTTTATTTATATAATTGAAATATTGGGAAATAAATGTTTGTCAACCAAGGTTGTATCACAAAAACATCGGATAGTGTTTTAAACGGCAAAACTTAACTTTTAGTTGATTGGTAAAAAATATAAATACAGGTGTAAAATTTAAGACCTTTTAGATCTGAGAAAATACCTGCAACTTCATAAAAAAAAAGAACTAATAATTATATCAAAATGAAAAATGATATGATAATTGTCTTTTACACAAGTTAATTGACAAGCAAAGAGTGTAATATTACAATGTGCTAGAATCTTTATTTATGAATGTGGATCAAACATTTTCTCTTATTCAATGAAATAACTTTGTCTTATATGCAGTTTACAAGGACAATGTAACCTTGTATGCAGTTTACAAGGACAGAGGCCGTCGATGAGAACTAGACTCATTCGCATCTTTAACATGTTTGTTCTTGATAACTTGAACATGATTGTTCTTCATAACATATTTGTTCTTCATAACATTGTTCTTCATAGCATATTTGTTCTTGATAGCTTGTTAGTTTTTGATACATGTTTGTACTTGACGATATGTTTGTTTTTGATAAAATGCTTGTTCGTAATAACATATTTTTTCTTGATAACATGTTGATTCAAGCTAGCATCGAACCATAAATCTGTCGGTTCTAATCCATAACTCTAAACACTGCGCCACGGCTGCTTATATATATAATATATCATATATCAATATACGGATTTGTGCTGATATATGGATTTGTCAAATAACTGTTATTAAATTTTAATTTCTTTTTACTTAAAATGTTATGGCCTTAAAATAGACAAAAAGTATATATAAAGACGTATTTGGACACTAGAAGGCAGGACACTAGAAGAGCATTTACGGCATCATCTAATGCATTGAAAGTGTAGATTTATTGTAGAAAATATTAAACATTTTTATAGAAAATTTAAATTTTTATTTGAACTTTTTTATATATATTTATATACAGGCCATCATCAAATGTTGTTATGATACCTTAGGTAGGATGGTTATAAATAGTTTGGCTTCAGGTCAAGGGCGGATTCATAGGGGAGGGGGGCGATGGTCCCCTTCCCACTTAGAATGTTTTGAAATTTTTTATTTTTGTAAGTTTATATATCAAACACAGCAAGTTGTTTGAAAACGGAAATAATATAGTTAGGCTGTCTAAATAAAATTACAATTTTAATAAAATTTGAAATTGTGTGGTTGCTTGCTAACAAATTATTAAATCTGAAAATCACCCCCTCCTTACTAGATCGTCTGCATCCCGCAAATGGAAAAAACAAATTAAAATCGCCTCCCCCCTCCTCTTACAACATAGTCTGGATCCGCCTCTGCTTCAGTTGGTGATTATAAACTTAAAATTGCTCCTTCGCAATATTAAGTTTATAACTTTATGTTTTCGTGTCTAAACTTATGAAATGTAATGTTAAATAAAGGTTCAATTAGGTTGAAAAACCTAAATAATAAATTTAATAATAAATTAAATCTTTTCATAAACAACGTTTATTTAAAACACAAATTTTATATACAAATAATAAATGCATAACTATATGCAAAAAGACTAAATATAAACATAAATTTTAACCTATTTCACCATCCCTTCAGGCATAAAGAGATTTGTACTTAAAAACTGATTGCTTTTTTCCCCCATTCCGGGCCCATAATAAAAAAAAACCTTTTTTGATTTCGGCCTTAAGTGGTTTTGGCGCCTAACCAAAAGATCACTGATGATAAGACTTTATTTTGTAAATTGCAAAAATTAAACTGCAGTTTGAATGGGAGGCTGAATAAGAGCGAATTTCATAAACTGAACTGGCAAAAATAAGAAGCCTAGCAAAAAATGTCATAAGTGCAAACTGGCATCAGTAAAAAGCAGTTGCAAAAATGGCCACAAGTGCAAACATGCATAAATGCGAATTGACATAAGTGCGCCAAAAGATTCTGCAAAGATTGGTATAAGTGCGAAACAGCTGCAAAAACTTGCATAATTGCGAATCGGCATAAGTGCGAATCGGCATAAGTGCTTCGAATAAATTTGAAAACAGTTTGCATAAATGTGAACTAACATAAGTGCGAAGCAGTTAAAAAAATAAATGCAAACTGGCATAAGTGCGATTTAGCATAAGTGTGCCGAATAAAAATTTGAAACTAGATCAAAATCAAGACTTACTATAATATTACTTTTAGGTCTTTAGTTGATGTGTTATTTTACCATTTACACACAATACTCTGTTATAAAATATAATGACACAGGTATAATATAATTATATATATCTAGAATATGTAGTGCACTGTTGCAGTCTATAAAAGATATCTTTAATAATTACGGAAAACTAACTTGTATTGTTAAAAATAAAATTTACCAAAACAAAAATAGTGCAAAACCATCATACTGAAAAACTAAGAATAGAAGACATATAGCAGACATGATAGTTAGCTGCTATAGCCGGCACAAAAGGGTAGAGTTTGTGGGTTGTGACACCCCCATTCAATGAATTTTTGTAACATAAGTTGGCAAATTGCAATCCTTTTTGTACCAACAGCCTGTAATGTTGGAACCATTTTTTAGAATCAGTCGGCAAAATGGGACTTTTATTTTTAATTTTTAATAGTAGGCAGTCTATAACAGTCAAAAAAAGGTAAGGCTTCCCTCTACACGCACACGCACACACATAACGCGAACTCGCATCGGCCCTGTTAGTAACCAAGTCGAGCGCGAAAGAGGTGTGGGTGTCATACCCCCACCCCCATCAATGAACTTTTTTAAAATTTAGTCGGCGAATTTGATCCTTTTCGATTAGTCAGTCGGAAAATGTAGACCTTTTAGACCAGTTAGTCGGGAAATTTTAAAAAACGAGTACTTTTTTTTTTTTAGTTGGCAAAAATTTTAATGATACTTCCCCCCTCCCTCTGTAATACTTACTCGCGCGGGCCGTGCCAGTAGCCATAAAAAATAAAAAAATAAAAATTTAAAGTTTACATATTCTATTTGAGTACCGTAACACTTACTTTGGTTACTTATTTAAAATAGCAACGTTTTACTATTTAAAATAGTAAAACGTTACTTTACTGTTTAAAAGTCAAAGATGTTTAATTAAAGTTTTTAAAAATGGTTAAAGTAACCCCGCTGGCCAAAGTAACCCCGTGTTACGGTACTTTATATACTTAAGAGGAAACAGACAACTATGTATCACTTAAATACAAAACTTATATTTTGACAACCTAACAAAGACTGGTATGCCTAAAGAAATTTAGTACATCTCCAACACCAAAAGCAAGAAAGTACAGGCAGTAAAGGTCCTAAACCAAAAAAAAAGGCCAATACTTAAGGTTTTCAAGAACAAGACTAAGACCAAAACTCGAAGCCTCAAGACCAATACCGAAAACAAGACAATTGATTATGAGACGTCTCATTGGTTAAAGTCTCGAGACATCTCAAGATCAAGACTTTAGTCTTGAGACCTACACTTCTGCAAACTTTGAAGTTAGAGTTGACAGTTTAACAATTTGAAAAAAAAAACTAAATCATTTTTATTAACTTATTTTTAAATTAATATTTTTGTGAACGCGTTTAATAGAAATCAACCCATTGCAAACTTTATGAAAAAAAAATAACTAGGGTAAGTTGGTGAATTTCGAGCAGTTTGCTGAACATTTGCCATAAACGTTATAGAATATAACCAAACGGCCACCAAAAGTTTAATGAGCTCAATTTAGGCAGCTAGCTGTTTTATCTACAAAAAAGTAATAGTTTGGGCAATTATTAAATACTATATTTTATTTATTTTTTTGTTTTGAATTATTTTTTTTCATGATTTGCACAATTTCGTGCAAGTTGACGAAGTAAAATTTTATTTTGTGCACTTTTTTAAATAAGAGGTTGTCCGTAAAGTGCGTACGCTTTTTTTTCGCAAACGCCTTCCCCCCCCCCCCCCCCACCTCCTGCATTTTGCCATACGCTTTTTTGAGTACCCTCTACCTCCCTATATCATACTTTACCTACGCTTTTAACCTACCGACCCAACATTTTATGATATTTTTTTAAATTTAGTGTCTCCATACTTTTATATTTGAACTACTGCCCCCTTATCTCAGAAACGCCATTTGGAGACCTCCTGTTCATCTCCGAGCGTACTTTATCAACGATCCCTAAGTTAAAATTAGAAGATTTATTCAAGATGCAATACTTAATTCATACATACTTTTTTGAAAATATTTTGCTAGCTATTAAATGTCTGACTTAGAGTTGGATTATTTGTTGGAACATAACGTGAGGCCCGCGGCTATTTATTAGGTCCAGTGATCAAGCCTGTTTATAGGCTCGATCACTGGGCCAAATGATAAATGTTTTTACAGGTCCTAAAAGTTAAAAGGCCCTTTTAACTTTTAGGACCTGTAAAAACAAGTTAGGATATTAAAAAACTTTATAGAGTTATATAGGCTACACCAAAAACCTTTTGGGTGAGCCCCAAACATTATTTGTCAACTAATATTCTGAAATGGCACTGAAAACATATCTTTTGTTAATGTTTAAAAGAAAACTAAAAAATACATAGAAATTTTTATAAACCAGTAAAATTAAAAATAATTAATTTATTTAAAAATAAACGCTGAGTCTGGGTTGTGATTTTTTTGGTGCGAAAGGCTGTTTGTACGAAATTTGATGCCGCCCGAAATTCGCCAACTTACTCTATAGTTTGACTAACACTACTTTGTTCTGCATAACACAACTTCAAATAATCTAACAGTTATAAATAAAAAGTACGCTGTAAAAATATATTTGTTTATAAACTATTGCGTTATAATATCGCTAAATAACAAAATGTCAGAATTTATTGCTGATATAACTGTATTAAAACATCGTCAAACTTCAATAAAAGAAACATAGTGGTTTTATCTTCAGTCAAACTTAATTTTTTATTTTAAATTCAATTTAAAATCATATAAATCACCGCTATAAATTAATTTATTTGATTTTTTTAACCTGTTTGTATTTAACATAACTCAACACAAATTCAACTTTTCAAATAGATGAGATCATTTCAACTAGTACATTTGATCTTATAATAGCCAAATGTAACAAAAGAATTAATAAAATAGTTCAATTGCCGCCTTTATAAAATTTAAAAAAGGGCATAAAACCATACCAAAGATAATACGCAAAAAATGTTTTATATTATAAATTGAAATACAAGTTGATGTCTGAATTCTTTGCGAACAGGAAAACTAATTTAAAAACATCTAAAACTAAACAAAAGTTACAATGCCTTTTTAACTATAATAGTGCGTATGATCAATACGTCAAAACCAAGGATATTAATATAAAAAGCGGGTTGTAAGTTATCCAAAAATGTCAACTGAAATCTATTAACTCGTCAAAACAAGGACGTTTTAATAAATGGACATTTAACGTATTGTTTAAAAGAAAAGTTATCTGCGCTATCAATTGTTATGAATAAAAATAGTTAACAGCTGCGTCATATGGGAATACTTTTATATGATTATACTCCAAAATGACGACTCAAATATCCAATTAAAAAAAAAAAACTTTATTACGTAAAATATTGTGAACAGGGCCGACACGAGGGTGAAACTGAGGAGTCACTGGGTATTATTTACCCAGACGCTTGGGCGCAGAACAGCCAAAAAACCTTTTTACTTAGTTTAAAGGATTATTCATTCTTATATGCGCGTCTATTCGTTTTTATATACGTGTCTATTCTTTTTATAAGCGTATTTATTCATTTTTATATGCATATTTATCCATTCTTATATGCGCGATTATTCATTCTTATATGCGCGTTTATATGCGAGCCAACCACCCATAAAATCTCTAATCAGGGTCAGGGTTAGGGTTAGGGTTAGGGCTAGTTTTAGGGTTAATTTTATATGAACAATAAAAAGGCTTTTATGTTTTTATATAGATATATTCAAAATATAAATTAGGTTGTTGTCACTGCCATTTATTTAAAAAATAGTTGCCGAGCCAGCGCTAAACTTATGTAAATCAAACTCAGTAGTATCCATAATATTTTTAAGTTTCCTGATTACCCCATCTGTGTTTCGAGGCCTTTCTCCTTGTTTGGAAGTATGCTTTAAAAAAAAAAAAAAATCTTCTATTGGGATAAGCAGTGGCGTGTATGCTGGCAGAGATTTAACAGCTATGCCATAAAAGGCTAATGTTTGCCTAACAGAAAGAGTCCAGTGAAATTTACAATTATCCATAACAAACACCGGCGCTTCCACATCTGCATTCCTAATCGCTGGTGTAGTAATGAAAACACAAAATCAGTTCTCCAGTTCAACCAGCCTTTAGTTTTTATTTCCTACGTCAGCACTCATATTGTTGAAACAGCACAAATCAAACTAACATTCTTGCCACGATTTGCAGACGACTGTAAAATTGCTCATGCACTTCTCAGCAAATAACCATATGTGCTGTTGGTGTGTACATTAAATTCAGTTTCATCCAAATAAGTAAATTTTTTATGTGAAATTTTGTTAATTTTACTTGGCAATGCATAGGATGCATCAATAACTCGTATGGAGTTTCGTTTGTTTGGCACATGTACAACACGCTTTCTTGATAAATCCGAGCGGTTGAGTTTTCTTGAAGTAGGAGGCTGAGACATGTTGAAGCCTGTCGCATAATTCAATAATATTTTTTATTTGAGCGTTTATAGGTCTTTTACCTTGTTTGTTTTTTTTTTTATCAGAAAACGACTTGAATGCAGTCATGTCGTTGAATTTTCCTCTGTTTAACTTAACGACAAGATTTTGAACTGTGCGCTCAAATAAATTTAGAGAAGTAGAAATGTTTGTTGTAGATTCATTTCTTTCAACTAAATGCTTAAGCATTTCAATGTGCTCTTTTGTATTATTTTTCATTATTTTTCTATTGGTACAGCTATTTTCTAATTTATCCATAAGTTAAATATTTGTGTATTAATAATAATTATAAATATTTAAATTTAAATCTTGATAAATAATTAGATAAATATTAAATTAATCAATCAATAAACTTAATTATAAAATTAAACAAAGACTTATTACTAACTTAAGAAAGATAAAGAGGGTAGTTTGTACCTTAAATAAATCATCATCGAATGTCATCATCATGGTGTCACCATCAGCTAAGTCTTCGAATTAAGTATTTTTAACCTTGTTTACCAGAAAGCAAGAACCATTTTTTTTGAAACAAGTAAAATTAAAAGCAAGTTTTTAAAACACAATGTTTTTTTATGTTATTAAGACACAAATTTTGCAATCAATTTTTTTCTGATATTACTTTTTATTTTTTTAACATTTGGCTGTATGCGTGTGTAAAAAAACAAAAAAAGTTCAGGAAGAGGCGGGTCTCGAACCGTAGACATTTCGTTAACAAAGTCAACGCCTTATCCAATTAAAATAAACGCGCGTATAAGTCTTTACAAATAATATTTACTTTTTTAAACTTATTTAAAAAAAAAATTTTTCCCATAAAAAAAATTAACTTAATTAAAATTAACTAAATTAATTGACTTATTGCAAAACTAATTATTGAATGTATTGTTATCAAGCAAGAGTAAGTATGCAAAATTTTAAGAAATTTTTTATCAGGAAGGACTCAAAAATTGATTGCAAGGTTTGATGTTAATAGGCAAACAGAGACGAGGAGTTAAAAAAGGCATTAAGAAAAACTGTGCTTTTTTAAAACGCATATAAGAATGAAACATTGCAGAAGCTTCGTAATCTTGATCTAACTAATAATCAATTGAATGTAGTAAAATCTCTGGTAAAATGAATTTAGTCATTTGAATTTATCAGCTTGACAACCTTCTGATTTTAAGCTTTCAAACAAACTACGTCAGTTTCTAAATTCAATCAGAAAACATCTCCTTAAATGATAAGATAAATTTTGTTAGGAATTTTATGAGGATCTTATCAGAATTATATTAATCCAATTTTGTTATTAAATCATATTTGATTGACTCCGCTCTAGTATGTTATGGTTTTCAGTCAGATTTTGTCTAAAAGAGGACAAGGAAGAGAAAGACCTCACACGAAAAAGTAAGAAACTTTTTTCCACCAAAAAACTTTTAAGATGAGAATATCAGGTGAGAAAAACAATTAATGCTCTTATTCAAAAGATAAGAGACAAATTTCAAAGAAGAAAAAACTAGGAACATTTTTTCGATTTTATAATTCTTAGTATCAAACAGTAGACCAAAAAAACTAGCTTGAAAATCTAGGAGAAATCTGGAGAAAAAAAACTTATCGAGATCTGTCATCAAGGTACTCTGAAGAGCGCAAATTTTTTTTATTCAAAAAAATCTCTCAATTCAATGAAGCTATTGGAGTGGATCTACGGAGCTAAGATCTACAACGAACCTCAACCGGCTCACTAAACTTCTAGCTACTTTTACTGAGCAAGATCTTGCAAAAAATCTGTGCTACGACAAAGTCATTTCAAATTTCTCTATGAGTAAAGCTAAAAAGTCAATTTTTTTTTGGTATTGTAGCTTATCATCCTCAAGCTAGTTGCCAAACGGAGGCCACATTACCAAAGCCCGCAAAAGCAAGTTCAGCTCCTTAAGGAGCTTCATAACCCGCCCTACGGACGAAGAGCAGAGTGAGTTTGGGAAGAACAAAGATATATAAGAGTGAAAGACAGAAGTAGTCGTGTTATAAAGATAGATTAGACAAAGTGAACAGGAATCGCACATAATGTTAGAGTGTAAAACATACTGTTAACTAGGTCACCTAATTAATGCACGTGGATTAACACAGGAACGCAGTCAATTTTTTTTAACGCAGATTGTAGAAAAGCTCTATTGACTCTTATTAAATTTCAGTTACTTGCAAAATTCAAATGTTAAATAATTGTGGTTCTTGTTTATGCGTCAGTGTCAGTGTATGTTAAGTTTTAAAAATCAAAAGTTTTTCTGATCTAGAAATAAACTTTATAAATGTTCTTGTTTATGTAAAAGTTTTGTTCAACTAAAAATTTCAATTTAATCGAATCTCATGTTTAATCTATAAATGATCTATAATATATAATAGATACTATAACAAATTAATAATTGAATAATAATATAACACTATAACAAATTCTTTATACTTTACAATATTCATTTCAATAAATCACATACTGCATTTTTACAAAAACGTTATTTTTGATGTCAATTTTTTTTTTAATATAAGTTTCTGTTAAACTAAACTTACATAACTGTTAAAATGTTTTCAAACCCACGAGATAATCTTATTTTCATATGATGCATTTATATTCCCCAAAAAATAATATATGGGTAGTTTAACGGGTATTAAAACGTTTTTTAAAAGATGTTAGCAAAAGCAAAAATGTCCGATCTATTTTGTAAAATTATTTCAAAAAAAGGCGCTAAAAATTATAAAGTGCATTAAATTTTAGTAATTAGCTGATCTATAACCATGCGTTAAATGTCCATTGATACATACGTACTTTAAAAAAAAAAAACTTTGGACGGTGTGACTTTGCCGACGCAAGAGTACAAACAACGTAAATTAGTTATTATTATCTAAATATTATCAAAAACTTTTGTATTTTTATGCCAAGCAAATAAAGTCCGAGTAAAATTTCTTTGACAAATAAAAAATAGATCTATGATTACTAAATGGTTCAACAAAATTTGATAAACGTACAAACAATATAGGTGGAGCATTGTTTTTTTTCTTTTTTCTGATTTAATAGATATAAACTTTTTTTACACTATTTATCAAACATCAAATATACAGGTTCATTTGCATACAAGTTGCAACATTAAAAAATTTGTCAAATATAAAAATTAAACCGTTAAAAAAATATGAAAAACTTTGTTAAAAACTCAAAAATCAATATACAAAAGCATGAATATGCAATAAACAAAAAAGAGTCGTTTGTTGCACGTCATTAAGGCGTGCCACTAAAGTGGTAAGTAGTTTCTGTTTGCATTTGTATACCCACTTCCAAAACTCCGAAAAGTCGAAAATTTGCGCAAAAATTAATAAAACAATAAATATTTATTGTTTTATATTTTTTTTTTTTACAAAACAATAAATGTTTACAATTTTATAAAATTACATCATCTCAGTTTAATATAATATTATAGTTTTACTATATAGAAGTTTTACAACTGTTTATATATATATATATATATATATATATATATATATATATATATATATATATATATATATATATATA